ATATTATTTTTTACAATTTTTCTTGTTATTTGCAACTTACGTTGATCAATGCCAGATTCTGCCTTGCAAGTTTGTTGCACATCAAGTAATGAGGTTTTCAATTCTTCAAGTGTCTGAAAAAGACATTAAAATATATTATGAGTAGTTTTATAAATTAATACTAGTTTTATTAATAGTTTTATTAATTGAATAAAATATTTTAAAAATAATTATTTTTTTTATTAAATTAATTCTTATTGTATATATAATTATTTTTAAAATATTTTATACATATGTGTATTGTTTTAAAAATCTTCTATTCATCCTAAATATTAATAAAATTTTTGGTAGTAGTCTTTATATATCTTTATATCGTAATGATATAGTATAATGAGCTCGAAAATTATTAACTCCAACTCCAACTCCTGCAGCTATGGTAGTAATAAAATTAATTTATTACAAATGTTGCTATTAACAAAGTTCTAAACGATCAAGAACAATATGCCAATAAAGATTTAGATTACTACGTTCATTACTAAATTCACAATGCTCTAAATTTTTATTCATTCATTCACAAAGTTTAAGAGTTCAGAAAGTTCGATGCTTAAAAAAGTTCTCATGTTAAACAAATTCTAATTTAAAATTCTGAGATTAAAAAAATTCTGATTCTGAAAAAATTCTACCAAAAACGTTGTAAAACCTCCTGTATGTTTATCTCGTGAGATCGAAAATTTTGATGGGATACACAAGCAGCCATCAATATTCAGTAGATCAACCTTCTGACTGAACGCCCATCCCCAAAAATTCCCAGAAAAGAATAAAATAGAATAATAGGACATATGGTCCACAGAATCTGCTCTAAAAAAACTGATCCAAAGAAACTGAATATTTATAACAAGTCTTCTTAAATAGGATAATGTTAAAATGCCATGTTAGCATGGCTGGAAAATGTCTCAAATCCCGAGATCATGATTACACTCCAATTATGCCAAACATGTATTTTTAACAAATATACAATTTCAAAGATCTTTTTCTCTCAAAAACATATTGTCTTAGCAAAACGTATTTCTTCAATGTCTCAACAAACACTATCACTCGATTTAGATTACAAATAATGTTATTGTTCTATATTATTTGCTATTATATTTAATTATTTAGAAACAGCTATCTCTGAGAAATTTAAAAACAATACTTAATGGAAATAATTAAAAATTATTATCTTGGAAATAATTAAAAATTATTATCTATTATTATCTATTTTCGATTTTCAGAAAATAAAATAGAAAGCAAACAACACGTCGTAAAAATTTATAATGATTAAAAATTTTATATATTTATAAATAATCCAAATTTAAAGAGATCAAAAATAAATTCAATTCAACTCAATACAAGAATTTTATAAAAAAAATAATAAGTAGCAAATGATAAATATAAATCACTTCAGATATGGAATTTTTCATTTTATAGTGGAAAAGATTCTTTTTTAGTTATTAATTAATCATAATTAATCATATAGGAAAATATTTTTATTATTTTTAAAAAGAACACATTACACTAATATTAAACGTGTTTGAAACCAATGTTTACCGAAAATATATTTAATAATTTTAAGATTAATTAAAATTATCAGATAATTAATTAGAAATAACAATTACATTTTATATCTTTTTTAATTATACGTGAATAATTATTTATCATTTTAGAACTGATGCAAGGATTTATAATATTATATAAAAATTAACGGAAAGTGTCATTAAATAAAAATTCAAATTTATTATTAAAAAGAAAATAAACTATTGCAAACATATAAGTTGTGACAATTACGAATATTTTTAAAATCATATAAAAATATAAAAATAAGATTTAAAATTTAAATAAAGATGCTAAATATAAACTATGTTAAATATGAATAAAGTTGAACATATTTAAACATTTACCATTGCACTAACGCAAATGCAAAATGCAAAAATAACTACGATAGTTTTCATTTTTTTTTTAAATATATCGATTTTAAATAAATAAGATTCGAATGCTTGAAATACATTCAATAACAACTGAACAAATATCGAATATGCGACGTCTTTTTATAGTATAATTATTAGTAGTATTAACTATTAGCATAATTACCATTCTCAGAACTTCTTTCTTTCGATTATTAGAAGCAATGATATTGCATATATGTTTAATAACAAGAACTTATTAATATTTCCCGATTACATATCGAATTATTAAATTAAAAAATAATATAAAGATATCTAAAGATTAAAAGTGAATGCATACTAAAACAAAAAGAAATATTCAATTAATTAATTTCTTTTTCTTATCTCTGAAATATAAAGGGTAAAACGATTACTAGAATAATAAATGTTAGCATAATTTCATTTAAACAATCATTTATTTCCTTTCTTTTTCCGTTTTCTTTTAATGTAGTTTTATTAATAATATTTTACAAAAAAAATATTTAAAAAATCTTATTTATAATGAATTAATGTTATTATGAATAATTTTTTTGTTTTTAGTAAATCTTTATAAATATATGAACAATAATACATAATTTAAGGTTATCGATAATTGATTTGAATTTGAAATTTAAAGAAGATCTTAAATTTTAATTTCGAATAGTTCGAAATATTAAATAAATTTTCAAAATGCAAAAATCTCAATATAATAATAGCAATTTTTTTACAAATATTTTTATAAATTAAAATTACATATGAAGAATATTAAATTTATTATAATTATAATTTAAATTCTTATTTTCTATATTTTATATATCTAAAAATGATTAAAATCCATGAATACATTGATTGGTTTATCAACGACACTTTATTTTTTTTTTTAGATGATTTTACAATTCATTTATGCAGTATGGATTTGATTATTTTTTCATATAACAATTTATAAATTGCAATTCACTTAAGATATATGTACATATATAAAATTAAAACATTCATTCAATTTATCTAATTTGTCTTAATTATTTAATTTTATAACAATTTCATTATTCTTCTTCAACTAATTACGAATAAGTGAATAATCTGCTACAACTTACGTAATTATCTCGATTCGAAAATCATCAGTAGCAAATGCAAAAAAAAATGCAAATTCTAAAAATTTTGAAATTTTAATGATATATAGATATGTATTAAATTAAATTATTTCTTTTTTTTTACCTAAATTCATTTTAAGAAACAAAATTGATTTATACTATATTCAGTTAATTTTCGATTTTATCTTATAACTTGTAAAAGATAGAGAAAAAAATAAAAATTTTTTTCTAATGAAGATTCTTATTTGATAAAAAATTAACAAATTGTGTATGTAATTAAAAAAATATTATA